TCTTCAAAAAGTGGAGTTTGGGGGTCGGGCTGGTTTCTATTGGAATTAATCCCATATGTTCTGTTGTTCACTTAACGGGGATTTCACTTAACGCGGGACCCTCTGGGTTCTATTGACCGCGTTAAGTGGGGTACAACTGTATATATATATATACACAGTGACCCCTCGTTTAACGAACGCCTCGGTTAACAAAATTTCGGTTAACGAACTGCCTTCCATAAGGATCTTCAATTCGGTTAACGAACAAAAATTCGGTTAACGAATTTCTTACGAACCGACCTCAACATGTTTTCGCTTTCACTGACCGGGCAACCAGCTTTAGTATCAGTCAGCCAATACATTAATCGGTTCTAGAGCTTAAATTCCTTACTATTTTAGTAAATATCAAGAAGTTTATACTATTCAATAATTTTAAAAGTTTAATATTCAATTTTTTAGTCATTTTAACAATTATTGAACATAATTGAAGGTAAAGTCACTAGTTTAATGCGCGGCATCCAGCCTCTTAACACAGCAAACAGGCGTTAGTCTCTCTCTGTTTTCACTGGAGGTAACATCTTGCTTGAGACTCCCTTCACCTAAACCCTTTTTTTCTGTGTTTCCAAGCAAATTATTGGTCATTTTGAAATTTATTTTACATATTGACAATATATAATGCAGTGCAGTGTTGATTTAAAGAAAATAATCTTGAATTACACCAAGAGAACAAAAATTTTATGGGTGAAATGGCGCTATGGGGTGACTTCTCTTCCACCCCAATGCCTTCTCTTCTCCTGTCTCCTCCACCACCATTCTAATTTCCATCATCATCATCATTATCCAGGAGCCTTCTACATACACACCTCAAAGTAAGTGAACTTTTCTACCATTTTTGTTGAATTTAGGAAATTTTCGGTGAGCTGGAACCAATTACCCAAAATCCCATTGAAACAATGGTTTCGGTTAACGAACGACCTTCTGGAATGGATTGAGTCCGTTAAACGAGGGGTCACTGTATACATACATACATACATACATACATACATACATACATACATACATACATACATACATACATACATACATACATACATACATACATACATACATACATATATATATATATATATATATATATATATATATATATATATATATATATATATATATATATATATATATATATATATATATATATATATATATATATATATATATATATATATATATATATATATATATATACACACACACACACACAGTTGTACCCCACTTAACGCGGTCAATAGAACCCAGAGGGTCCCGCGTTAAGTGAAATCCGCGTTAAGTGAACAACAGAACATATGGGATTAATTCCAATAGAAACCAGCCCGACCCCCAAACTCCACTTTTTGAAGACACATAACTATGTTGTAGTAAAAATAACATCTTAATTTTATGATGGTACATGCACACAATTAATACTTAAGAGAAATAGAGAAATACAGTCGCCAAGTTTATGTCCATTCAAATAATGGACTCAACTCCCTCCCCCTCTCACACTACACTGCCGGCTCTTGCCTCTCTGAGAAATTTTTTGGGGAAAACCACTAAATTTTAATAAATAATACCTCAAACTAAAGTTAGGATAATACAATTGACATTGCTGGATTCCTTGTAAGACCAGGAATATTTTGAATATAAATGTCATATATTTTGCACAAAAGATAACATATTTACTAGAGAAAACATTATATCTAAAATTTGTATGTCTAATGTAAAATATATGATGTTTATATTCAAATGATCACCAAATTATAAGAATTCCAGCAATGTAAATTATATTCTGGCCGGGTAATTTGTATGAATTTTATGAGCTAAAACAAATATCTTCAGTTAATAAAAAAAAAAATATTCTTCAGGACACTATCTGTCAATCAAAGTACCCCACCTTGCCTCTCCCCTCTTCCAACCGCGTGGTCAGTCCCAACCCTCCCCCCCACCCCCCACCAATCCTCCCTTCAAGAGAAGAGTGGGTGAAAAAAATAAATTTTAACATTTTGTATTAAATAATACCTCAGATTAAAGTTAGGATAATATAATTGACATTGCTGGATTCCTTGTAAGACCAGGAATATTTTGAATATAAATGTCATATATTTTGCACAAAAGATAACATATTTACTCAAGAGTAAACATTTTATCTAAAATTTGTATGTCTAATGCAAAATATATGATGTTTATATTCAAAATGATCATCAAATTATAAGAATTCCAGCAATGTAAATTATATTCTGACCGGGTAATTTGTATGAAATTTATGAGCTAAAACAAATATCTTCAGTTAATAAAAAAAAAAAAATATTCTTCACAGGGTAACAGATGGTCGGTCGGTCAGTCCCTCCCTCCCTCCCCCCCACCAACCATCCCAAGGAGATGTGTGGGAAAACCAGAATACTTAACTTTTTTGTAATAAATAATACCTCAAACTAAAGTTAGGATAATATAATTGACATTGCTGGATTCCTTGTAAGACCAGGAATATTTTGAATATAAATATCATATATTTTGCACAAAAGATAACATATTTACTCAAGAGTAAATATTTTATCTAAAATTTGTATGTCTAATGCAAAATATATGATGTTTATATTCAAAATGATCACCAAATTATAAGAATTCCAGCAATGTAAATTATATTCTGGCCGGGTAATTTGTATGAATTTTATGAGCTAAAACAGGCAGTCAGGCAGGGTGGCGGGTGGGGCAAATTTGTAATACGTCGAGGCCGACACTCATCACAGAGTGTGGAAAAAAATCGTGTTAAGTGAAAAGTTCAGTCTCTGTGAGGGATCATGATATGATAAAATGCTAAGGAAAAAAAAAAACCGCTATAGGCGGGGTAATATATATATGCAAGTAAAGGTGCAAGGTGATTTAGTAGGAGTATGATATTAAGGAAAGAAGAAACACGAACTTCATGTTTTCTTTTCTTTCCTTGTATATATATATATATATATATATATATATATATATATATATATATATATATATATATATATATATATATATATATATATATATATATATATATATATATATATATATATATATAATGTTATGGTAAATATTATAAACACACACAGGCATGGCTAGGTTTATTACAAAGAGATGAAAAGGATAGTGTAAAGTGGGTAGTCCACAAAACACGTAGCTGTCTCTCTCTTTATTTGAGTGCCCCGTCAAAGAAGTCCGTTTTCTCTCACTTCAGGACGCCTGAGTCGTCCATTTTCTCTTAATCTTAGAGTGCAGTACACCAGACTTATTTATTCCTTAGTAATGACACAGAATTTGAAATTGCAACTGGGGTTGCAATTGTTGAGGCAACTTAGATATGTCTGATTACAGTTGGAATATTCAAGATCCATTGTGAGTGATGTTTAAAGCTTCAACTGTCTTTATGGTTGGTAAAACTTGTCAAGTCTGTCAGTCTGAGTGGCATGTGTGAGGCCTTGTGTTTGTACAACCGCTAAATATATAAATATATAATGTTATGGTAATTATCAGAAACACACATAGGCATGACTAGGTTTATTACAAAGTGATGAAAAGGGTACGCTCAATACTGTACAATGGGTAGTCCACAAAACATGTAGCTATGCTTTCTTTATTTGAGTGCCCCGACATAGGAGTCCGTTTTCTCTCACTTCAGGACTCCTGAGTCGTCCGTTTTCTCTTAATCTTAGAGTGCAGTACACCAGATACTTCTTTATTCCGTAGTAATGACACAGAATTTGAAAATGCAACCCCAATTGCAACTGGAGTTGCAATTGTTGAGGCAACTAGATATGTCTGATTACAGCAAATGTGTTATTGTCAATTTGTGGGGGAAAGATTTTATCCACAATAGATGTAGGTTAACATTACACCTGCAGGCAAATGTTTAAAAAAAAGCCTAATCAAGGAAGCATATTCCTTTAACACATAATATCTGACCAGTATGGGGAGGATCATCATGTCTCCGTCAGGGGGTCGTGGAGTGGTGGTCCAGCAGGCGTCACGGATTTTTTTTTTGGTGGGGGGGGGGACCACGGACGTATATGCGATCGGACGTTGTTCGGTCGGATGTTAACCGGCGCATGACTGTACTTATGTTTCTACAGAAATCACCTCAATCTACGACATAATCATATGAGAGAGTGATTCATTGAATGATTACATGGAGGTACTGTATTTGTAACCCCTGCCATCTTTTTTATTTGTAAACAAACCGTGCTGCAAAGCACTCCACTTCTGGCTATGGCTTGCTTTGCCTATAAAGTATTTATAATACTTTATAGTTTTTTATGACACCTTATTAACAACTTGTTTATTAGGCTTACCAGGTCAATAGTTTAACTCCTTGAGTCACAAAGACTTACCTGGTACGTCCTCTTACACCAAGGATCGCTTTCACATGAGAATGATGTACCTTGTACAGCTCCTCCCTGACTTACGACCTACTCGACTTACGACCACCCGCACTTACGACCTGCCTCAGTCGTACCAAAATTTTGTCAAATTACGTATTTTTGAATCCCAACTTCAGTACACAGACAAAATTTTTGTTTGTAATTCACTTTAAAATTGCTGGCAAGCTTAAAAGTGAGAGTTTTGTGGTGCTGAGAAGAAAAAGAGACACACCCATTTTAGATTTTCTATGTATTATTTAAGCATTTTCGACTTACGACCTGGATTTGGGTCCCTAACCCCATCGTAAGTCGGGGAGGAGCTGTACATCCTTTAATCTCCACAATAGTAGGAAAACTTGATAAGGCAAAATAGCTCTGATATGACACTAGTCTAATTCTAAGACGCTCTGATCTCTCACTTGGACTATTCAGATTCTTTTTCTCCCTTTTGTTGGGGTGAGTATTGAATTTACTGTATTTATCTGTTTTCTTGCCTCTTTCATATACTGTGCAAAGCCATGGACTAATGGAAAACAGGAACATTTTATCTTTACTCTTAATAGAGGGATTTAAACCTGTGTCAATACTTACGAACTTGCTGTTGAGCTTGAGGCTGTGGTTGTTGCGGAACCTGTGGTGGAGGAGTCTGTGGTTGTGTTGGGGGAGGTGCTTGCTGAGGAGGGACACCTGGGGTGGCTGGAACTGGCTGGGGCTGTCGCAATATATCCATGCGACAGGTGGGGCAAGTTTGTTGACGTTGGAACCATGATCGTAGACATGATGCATGAAATATATGGCCACAAGGAAGTTTCTTTGCACCTGTAGTTAAATAAACAAAATCAATATTTCATAAAATACTATTGCTAACTATCTAATACAAACATACATTAAAGTAACTACAATTAGTATCAAATATAAAGGTACTGTATGACTTAAGAGAACAGCAAAGTATATGTCAACCAAAAAGTTTAGGGCCAAAAGGCTTCTGTAAAAGGAATAATTAAGTAAAGTGTATACAGGTTGACTTCTCTCTTATCAAGCATCCATTGACTAGCAGCTCTCAATTAACAGCACTGCGATAGAAGAGGCATTATCTGCCAAACCTTCCAATTAACAATATGTTCAACCGCCATGTATATGGCTGTCCAGTTGACCACACACCCAATTCTACCATTATTTCATGACATTCAAACAATAATCAATCCATAAAATAAATATTATAAAATAACAATAAAATATAATAAAATTTCCAATAAAATACAGGCATCCCCCAGGTTACAGAATTTTGTGCTTATGAAATTTACAAATTTAGATCTTAATTTCGAGTTACGTGAAAAAAAAATTCCCACTTACGGAATTCTGACCCCCCACCCCCCAAAAGTGATATTTAATTCAATTTAAAAAAATAGTAAAAACTATTAAGTTAATGCATTTGTGGTGGCCACAAGGCAGTTGGAAGGCCGCTCACCTCCCCAGTTGCCACCACTTACCACAACAATGGAGCTGCTCACTTAGAATTCTTTCCCCAGCATGGGTTCAGTTATGCATTTGTGTTTAGGACTATTCACCTTGGTGGTAGCTACAAGATGGCTGCTGGGTGGATCACTCAGCAGCTCATAAAAGGCCCACAACAACAATGGCACTGCTCAGATTGAATTGTTTCCCCAGTTTGTGTTCAGTTGTGCATTTATGTTACTGTGTACCCTTATTCAAGATGCATGGAAAAAGACCATCAAGTTAAGTGAAAGCAGTGGTGATGATAGATTCCATAAAGGAATTGCATTGGACATTAAATTTGATGTTTTTAGGAGGTAACTCCCAGTTATTACGATCCCACAACCATTAGCCTGAATCCCTCTTAACTGGAACTCTCTGATAGCCGGAATTGATATTTTCTCGGAAAATCGTTCCCAAAGCCAAAATTTTCTGGAAATATCCGGCTTTGGGAACTATTTTACGAGGGGGACATTTTCTGAAAAATTCCGAGAAATTTTTCCCAGTACTGTACCTGGAAAATTCCGGGGATGGGCGAGTTTTTTCCGGGTATGAGAGATGAAAATCAGGCGCATTTTCCGGAAATTCAGAGAAAATTTTCCGGTACAAGAAGATCTCGTGATATGAGCATTCTTCATATGAGAATTCGATGATACGAGAAGCAAGTACAGTACTGTATAGTGAAACCTCGAAGATCCGGACTAAAAGAGGGGACCTCCTGTTCGAAAAAGCTGATTGTCCAAATCTTCCAGTGAATGTACTAAATGTATAAAAACGATAAATAATTATATCATATAAAAAACACCAAAAATACAGTACATATTATCCTGACCACTGGGGTTAATTATACACACTTTTTCCTGTGAAAAAGCCATAATTTTGAGCAACATATTACTGCACCCACTTTTACTCAAATGTACTACACTAAGGGACTCAAATTTTTATTTCTTGGGCAAAGAAATGTACAGCTACACCTCGACTTACAACCACCCGGACTTACGACCGCCTCAGTCGTATCTAATTTTTTTCAAATTACGTATTTTCGAGTCCCGACGTTAGTGATCGCGCTGTGTACTGACAAAATTTTTGTTTGTAATTTCCTTTAAAATGGCTGGCAAGCTTAAAAGTGAGAGCTTTGTGGTGCTGAGAAGAAAAAGAAACACCCATTTTAGATATTCTATACAGGTTGATAATCCCTTATCCGAAATTCTTGGGACCAGAGGCATTTCGGAATTTTTCGGTTAGTTTTTTTTTTTTTTTTTTTTTTTTTTTAGCCCATCCGGGGATGATAATAATAATAATAATAATAATAATAATAATAATAATTATTCACAGGTCTAGGTCGTGTTACTTTATCTTTTTTTAATTCTTGTATTTCTTTATTATTATTATTACAGTATTACCCCGCCTAACGCGGTTTCACTTAATGCGTTTTATCATATACGCGGTGCCTCGCCAGAGCTGAACTTTCACTTAACACGGATTTTTTCCACATATACGCGGTGAGTGTCCGGCTCGAGACGCTATTTTTAGATTTGCCCACCCGCCACCCTGCCTGACTGCCTGTTTTAGGTCATAAAATTCATACAAATTACCCGGCCAGAATATAATTTACATTGCTGGAATTCTTATAATTTGGTGATCATTTTGAATATAAACATCATATATTTTGCATTAGACATACAAATTTTAGATAAAATTTTTTCTCAAATTAACTGTTATCTTTTGTGCAAAATATATGACATTTATATTCAAAATATTCCTGGTCTTACAAGGAATCCAGCAATGTCAATTGTATTATCCTAACTTTAGTTTGAGGCATTATTTATTAAAATTTAGTGGTTTTCCCCCAAAAATTTCTCTGAGAGGGAAGAGCCGGCAGTGTAGTGTGAGAGAGTTGAGTCCATTATTTGAATGGACATTAACTTGGCGACTGTATTTCTCTATTTCTCTTAAGTATTAATTGTGTGCATGTACCATCATAAAATTAAGATGTTATTTTTACTACAACATAGGTATGTGCCTTCAAAAAGTGGAGTTTGGGGGTCGGGCCGGTTTCTATTGGAATTAATCCCATATGTTCTGTTGTTCACTTAACGCGGATTTCACTAACGCGGGACCCTCTGGGTTCAATTGACCGCGTTAAGTGGGGTACAACTGTATTTTATTATTACAGTGTTATTGTTATCATTATTATTTTATTTTGGTGTATTTTTTAATTTAAATTTTTATTTACTATGAATAATTATTATAATTAGTATTACTATTACATTTGTGCCCCCCAGGCCCCGATATCAGTGATCTATGGCTGGGTGGGCTAATCCCTTATATTAAAAAAAAAAAAATGCCCACAAAAACTTTTACTTTTCAGAGCTTTTTGGTTTTCGGATAAAGGGTTGTCAACCTGTATTATCTTCACATTTTCGACTTTGGACCTGGATTTGGGTCCCTAACCCCGTCGTAAGTCGAGGAGTGGCTGTATATTCCCTTTATGTGTTTGCCCTTAGAACAATTATTTATTTTACCTGTATTGTATACAGTCAACCCTCACTTTACGTGGTCCCACATTCCGCGTTTCCACGTTTACGCGGTGCCCTGCCAGAACCCAGGATGCTCACATTCCGCGGTGGGTGTACCCCTTTACACGGGTGAAGTATAATTTTTTTATTTAGCTCATAAAATTCATACAAATTATCCGGCCAGAATATAATTTACATTGCTGGAATTCTTACAATTTGATGATCATTTTGAATATAAACATCATAGATTTTGCATTAGACATACAAATTTTAGATATAATGTTTACTCTGAGTAAATATGTTATCTTTTGTGCAAAATATATGACATTTATATTCAAAATATTCCTGGTCTTACAAGGAATCCAGCAATGTCAATTATATTATCCTAACTTTAGTCTGATATATTATTTATTACTAAAAAGGTAAACAGTCTGGTATTCCCACACATTCATGTGGTAGGGAGGGTTGGTGGGGGGTGGGAGGGACCAGCGACCGACCACCTGGCATCACGGTGTGAAGAATATTTTTTTTTTTTATTAACTGAAGATATTTGTTTTAGCTCATAAAATTCATACAAATTACCCGGCCAGAATATAATTTACATTGCTGGAATTCTTACAATTTGATGATCATTTTGAATATAAACATCATATATTTTGCACTAGACATACAAATTTTAGATATAATGTTTACTCTGAGTAAATATGTTATCTTTTGTGCAAAATATGACATTTATATTCAAAATATTCCTGGTCGTACAAGGAATCCAGCAATGTCAATTGTATTATCCTAACTTTAGTTTGAGGTATTATCTATTAAAATTTAGTGGTTTTCCCCCAAAAATTTCTCAGAGGGGGAAGAGCCAGCAGTGTAGTGTGAGAAGAGGGGGAGGGAGTTGAGTCCATTATTTGAATGGACATTAACTTGGCGACTGTATTTCTCTATTTCTCTTAAGTATTAATTGTGTGCATATACCATCATAAAATTAAGATGTTATTTTTACTAGAACATAGGTATTGTGTTGGAAAAAGTGGAGTTTGGGGGTCAGCTGGTCTCTATTTCATTTAATCCCATATGTTATGTTATTCACTTTACGCGTTTCTCACTTTCCGCGGTACCCTGTGGGTTACATTAACCGCATAAAGTGAGGGTTGACTGTACATGAGCGTGTTTGTGTGTGTGTAGACACACACACAAAACACATACAAATAAATAATAATGGGAAAATCCTCTCACAAATAATCAGAAACAAATTTATTAAAAATGCGAATCTACCCCCAAGTTCGTGCTTAATTAATAAAGTATTAAAACACAGACTTGAGGGTAGACTGTCATATTTTCAATAAATTTGTGAAAGATTACACACACACACACACACACACACACACACACACACACACACACACACACACACACACACACACACACACACACACACACACACACACACACACACACACACACACACACACACACACACACACACACACACACACACACACACACACACACACACACACACACACACACACACACACACACACACACACACACACACACACACACACACACACACACACACACACACACACACACACACACACACACACACACACACACACACACACACACACACACACACACACACACACACACACACACACACACACACACACACACACACACACACACACACACACACACACACACACACACACACACACACACACACACACACACACACACACACACACACACACACACACACACACACACACACACACACACACACACACACACACACACACACACACACACACACACACACACACACACACACACACACACACACACACACACACACACACACACACACACACACACACACACACACACACACACACACACACACACACACACACACACACACACACACACACACACACACACACACACACACACACACACACACACACACACACACACACACACACACACACACACACACACACACACACACACACACACACACACACACCTCTC